CCCGCGTCCATGTCGCCCGGCTCCAGCCGGAGCACGAGTGGCGATCGCCCGGAGCCCACGCGGTGAGTGCGTCCTGCGGGCTCGGGCAGGACCTTGGGACTTGGGGGACCGGCGTCCCTTGGGGAGAAGGGTGCAGAAGAGCCCGGGCTCCCGCCAGCCACCTCTCCCAGGATCCTGGTGCACGGGGACCGCGGCGTCCCCCGGAGCGCTCCCGGGCGCACGTGGCGGGCGGGCGGGCTGGCGGGTGGGGTGAGCACGCCGAGAGTTCCCCGGGGTCGGACGCTGGAGGGGTCGGCGGCAGCAGTGGCACCGGGCGTCGTGGGTGGGCGCGCCTTTGTCTGCGCGGGGCACGGGGTGGGGGGCGTGCGCCCTCCCGGCTCGGTGCCCGGTCCCAGGGGCCCGTTCACCTGCCCTGAGTCGGAGTTCTTTGTCTGGGGCGGGGCGCGGCTGGCGGAGACCGCACCGCGTGTGTGGGCCCAGGCTGCCCCGAGGTCGGGGCCTCGCAGACAAAGCGCGACCGTGACCTCCCTCACAGCCGGGGTCGCCCTCACACCTGACACCCTCCCTGCAGACACACCTCCTCCGCCGGGGAGGGAGCCCGCAGACCCGAGCCTTCCACCCAGACCTCGGCCTCGAGTGCCCCATTCCTCCACCCACAGGGTCTCAGTGCCCGGAATGGAGACATGTTGCTGCGCGCACCCCGTCACGTCCCTACAGTTCCTGTGGATAATTCCCGGGCAGTTATTAGCGCAGCTCTGGCAGCCGCTCTGGGCTGCCACCCCCGGCCCCCAGCCAGCACCGAGGACGCCTACTCTCGAGAGGGAACCGTGCGTCGGGGCTCAGCGCTCCCAGCAGGCGCTCCTCTTCTGCCGCGCTGGGGAGGGGGCTGCACTCCGTCCCCCAGAGCTAGGCGCGGGGACTCCGGGAGGAGACCCGCTGCAGGTGGCTGCGGAGGCTTCGGGGGCGTGGCCGCCCCGCGCACTGGGCTTTGGAAGACTGCCAGGTGCGCGCCACGAACCTGAGCACCCGCCCAGCCCTGGGATCCCAACCTTCCCTTCCCCAATGTCACCTGTAGGGTTGGGGACCAGGTGGGTCCAGGAGAGCTGGTGCTCAGCGGGTCCGGGAGGGGTTGGGGAAGCGCCTCTGCCCGGCTCTGGTGGACTTTTCCCGGGTTCTAGGGCGCCGCCTGGTGGCTCTAGGAGCCCAATGCGCCGGTCGGGCGTGGAACCGAATCAGAACCCACGTGTTTGGGTTTCCTTGGAGCCATGGGATGCGTGTCTCAGTTGAACTTATCGATCCTCGATCCCCCACTTGGCTTCAAGGGGCGGATTGAGGCCAAAAGTCATCATCTCCCTGGGGAACAGGTCAGCCAATGCTACCCCTCTGTGTTCCCCTGAGTGCAAGAGCAGCAGGGCTTTCCCATGTGACCCTCCCCGTCCCTGTCCTGCTGCTGTGACCCCGTTGCGCCCGGGGTTTGGAGGCCAGCTGGTCAGGGTTCGGGAGTTGTGGGGCGTCACAGCAGGAGGGCGGTTTAAGTCAGAGACTCGGTGCAGGAAAGCAAAGCAAACTCGGGTGTGCTCAGTGCAGAGGGCGTGGTGCTGGAGAGGGGGTGGTCGTGGAGCGTGTTCACGGAGGGGCATGGTGTTGAGGGGGAGTTGATGCGGTGGAGGAGGTGTGGTCACGGGGGCATGGTGCTGGAGCGGCTTAGTGTCCCCCCCCCCCCCCGCGGTGGAGGGCCCCCAGGTGGGCTCCCGAGGCCTAGCTAGCGGAGGGAGAGGGACAGACAAGCCGTGGATGGGAAGCTGGGGGCAGAGGGATCGAGGAGAAATTGGGGCTGTGTTAGGGCAGTGGGGAGTGTCTGGTTCTGGTTGGTTTAAAAGGCGGTCTTGGTTACTGTGTACAGAGACTGGGGGGTAGGGGTGGAGCAGCGCCCACCCCCACTCTGCACCCTGCTCCATCTCCCTGCCAGTCCGCCCCGATTAGATGCTGTAGCTACTCATTTCACATTTCAGCAGCCTGCCCCTGCCCTTCAGTAGACTTGAGGGTGCACAGCAGAGATACCCTCCACCAGATATGCACCTGGAGGACAGGACATATGTGGCAGTCGTACAGAAACACGATTTGGAACAAGTTCATTCCCATTCGAGCCCCTGCTGAGACGTTGCATTTCCACCGCAGATATACTGAATCAGAATCTACATTTTAACAAGATCCCCAGGTCATTCTTAGGTATAATAAATTTTGAGAAAACTGCTCTACTAGTGGTTCTCATAATTGGTCCCTTAGCATCGCCAGGGAACTTGTTAGAAATACAAGTTCTCAGTAGGGGTTTGAACTGGAAAGAACCAGTTCGAGGTCCTGGCAGGAACCTGTGGTATCTGGGTGACAGTGGCTGGTGTCTGTGCACAGGTGTGCAGGTGGGTGCACGTTGCCCATGCCCCACAGCAGCCCATCCAGGCGGTCCCAGCACTAGCCGAGGACTGTGCGCGTCATCGGTGGGTGGGTGGGTGTATCTGCACGCACCTGCCCGCCCTCACCTGAGGATAGGTCCCTGAAACTCTGCACTCTGACATGTGGGTCCTGTGGTTTTGTCGCTCGCGAGAGATGACTGTCTGGCCCGCCTCCAGGGCCCCTCGGGTGCTCTAAACTCTGCCACCCGCAGTGGGGGGAAGCCTTGTTTACACCTTTCCTTGCGCTGGTGTCTCTTCTGCACGTGTGGCCAGTTGGGGTCGCGTTATGTGGGGATTGCTGTGGTCCCTCAAGGGGACGCCTCCTTTCTGGACTGGTTTGTAAGCCTCCTGGGGCCACACTCGCCTGGCTGGAGCTGTCCCTCTCCTGGGTCCTGTGAGTTCCGTGAAGTGGAAGGCGATGGTTTACAGAGCCAAGTGTCCCGTCTTTTCTTTACCCAGCAGGCTTTTGTGATGTGCTTAGAAAGAGCTAACCCACCCCAGCAGGACCCTTCCCCGTGGCTCCCCTGATACATTGATTGTCTTGTTCTCATTTATGTCTGCGGCTGCGGGGAAGGAAGAGAGGTCTCCTCTTTGCCTGTTTGCAAGCAGCGAGCTCCTTGTCACAACGCTGTTCGCTGGAAGGATCTGTCTTTCCCACAGACCTGAAACGCTGCCCACCCACACTGCACTGTGGGCTGTGCCTACCGCTGTTCGGGATTCTCCTTTCTCTTCTGTCACTCTGGCAGCCTGTTCTGGGTTCAGTACTGCGCTTTTCCAATGGATTTTCTCGTGCTGTGATATGCATGCAATAAAGCGCCCCTATTACATGGTCGGAGCCCTGGTGGTGCAGTAGTTAAGAGCTCGGCTGCTAACCAAAAGGTCAGCAGTTCAAATCCACCAGCCACTCCTTGGAAACCCTATGGTGCAGTTCTGCTCTGTCCTCTAGGGTTGCTGGTGAGTCGGAATTGACTCGACAGCAAAGGGTTTGCTTTGTTTTAGGTGTCCATACGGTTTTACTCGCTTTGACAAATGCATATAACCATGTGCCCACCACCTCCATCAAGATGCGGAATGTGCCTCTCCCCCGGAAGGCTCCCTCATGCTTCTGTAGTCAGTCTCCGCCCCCACCACAATCACCGACCACTTCTTGACCCTGTGGAATGTTCGAGAACTTCACACACACATGCTCCTTGTGTCAGTGGTTCCTTCCCGTTTGTAGGGCGCAAGGTCCAGCTGCAGACGTGCAGGCCCTGATGACCAGCTGCGGCTGGGAACCCGGCAGGTGTGGTCCTTGGTCCGCCTCTGCAGAGGGGCTTGTATATCGTACGGCCCTTAAACCTTAGTGTGGGGAGAAGGGGCCTCTCCACAGTGCTACATCTGCTTGAGCAGGATGCGTCTGCGTCTGGACTCATGTCTGTCTTCACGTCCGCAGTGGAGCTGGGTGGGTGTGGAGGTCCTGGTTAGCAGTAGCTGCTCTTGCTCCTTTTGCGTTTACAGCACCTGTGGTAGCAGACCACCTCACTGCCCTCCTGGTGTCTCACCCTCTTCTCTCTCTTCCAGGCGTCGGTGGGCTCGGAGAAGCTCTTTGCCCCAGCAGCCAACAGAGGTATGTGCCTCCCTGGGCCTGGGCCTGGGGCCCTGGTCTTTACGAAGGGTGGGCAGCTCTCCATTGTCGTGGTGACAAGGATGCGCTCTGGGTGGTGGAGGGGGGGGTGGAGCAGGGCACGGCTGATGAGCAAGCCTGCTGTGGGCATGGGCCCTGTGTGAGCACACACGTGTCCACCCCTCCTCCAGTTCTCCGCCCAGGACTTGGGGTTGGTTCCAGGCACCTAGGGGTGTGCCAGGGGAGAGTGGGTGGGCACAGAGAGAGGGAAGGCGAGAGGCACCGAGCAGGGGTGAGCAGCTGGAGTGCAGCGTCAGCCTTACCCCATGGGCAGCCCTGAGCAGGTTCCCCACGTCCGCAGAGGTGTCTGTAGTCCCCCCACCATGGAATTGTTAGAATGTAGGTGCCCCCACCAGCCCCTGGCTAAAGGTGGAGTGCCTCTACACGGCCAACCAACCCAGCGGCCACAGCATGCTGCTGTTACAGGAGAATTGAGTTAATTACTGTTCATTCAGACTCAGCTCCCAGCACACTAGCCACCTTCCGGGTGCCCCTGGCAAGGCCAGGGCTCACTGTGGGATCAGGATGGACAGGGCTACAGTCCTGGCTGAGACCTCTCTGTGCCACCCTCCCATCAGAAATGGGGGTGATAACAGGATACTCCTTCAGAAATGGGAGGGGTAACAGGACCCTTATGAGAAATGGGGTGGTAACAGGATATATCCCATCTAAATGGGAACAAAAGTGATGAGGACTTTTGGATTCTGGGCAGAAGGTTCTGAGTCCCGGCACCCCCAGCAGCAGGCGGGGCTGGTGGCCAGGGTGAGGGGAGCCCCCACCTTTGTCTTCGAGCAGCTGACCCCACCCTGCCCTGAGCTGTCCTGCAGATGGCTCTGGGCTGTGAGGATGGCGGGCTGCCCACTCACACCACCCATCTCTCTCCCCCACTGCAGGCCCCTCGCTGGGGGAAAAATTGGAGGTCACGGCCGTGACCGCGCCCAGGGTCTCAGGGCTGGAGCGGAGCCGTGAGCTGAGCACCGAGACGCCCTTTCTGCCTTCCGTGCGCAGCCCCGCAGCCGCCCCTGCAGCCACCACTGCCGCCGCCGCCACCGTGCCCCCCTCGGGGCCCCCGCCAGGCACACGGGCCAGCCCCCTGGTGAAGAAGGAAGCCCCCGCCCTGCCCCGCCTCACCCCGCAGCCTCTGCCGCCGCACACGCCCCCCCAGCCCCGGGCCCCGCTCCCCACACACGTGCCTCTCTCCCTGGGCACCTACCCGGGCCCCAGCCAGGCCACGCACGGCAGCCTGCACAGCCTCAGGTAGGGCTGGCCTCGCTGTGGGTGGGGGGCTGGCCGGAGGTGGGGCGCCGGCCCTGCAGTGACCCGCCCCACCCCCAGCAGGAGCAGCAGTGCGGGCAGTGGCCCCAGCCTCGGCGTCCTGAAGAACGTGGCCCTGTCGCCTCACGGGCCAGGTTCCGCACTGGCCCTGCCCGGCTCCAACCTGTCTACCTCGCACTTGGCACTGCGGTCCCAGGCCCAGCACCAGCACCCCGCGGCGGCAATGTTTGCCGCTCCCCCGACACTGCCCCCTCCCCCGGCGCTCCCCACCAACAGCCTGGTCCTCCCAGGGCACCCGGCCGGTAGGTCCCTGTGCCATCCACCCACAACTCCACTGTGTCAGGGTTCCAGGGCCCCCCAGTCAGTGAACTTCCCCCCGCGACAGGGAGGGGAGGGTGTGACAGGGCCCTGCAGCTGCCCCACTGCCCACCCTCTGTGGCCCCAACAGGCTGGTCCTTCCTGGGGGCTCCTGGCCACAGGCTAGGCTGAGAAGGCTCCGTGCCCAGCTGCAGGTCCTCCCCACGCACATGCACACAGAGACGCGCATACACACATGCGTGTACGCACACATACACATGCACACGTGCACCTAGGTGCACACAGGCACAGATGCTAACATGCATTCACACTCATGCATAAGGCACACACATACGCACGTATGTACACACGTACTTACCAACACATAGATGCACATATGTGCATCACAGACGTGCACAGCCGTGTGCACGGAAGTGTGTACACACGTGCACTTGCACACATGCACAGATGCCCATGTGCACACACATACGCATATATGTATACACGGACGCGTGCATGCCCTGAGTCCAGGGCTCCCCGGCCTTGTCCTGCTCTGTCCCGTGCCCTGCACACATCTGGCAGGCAGGCTTAGCGAGCAGATGGGAGTGCATCCCAGAGCCTGCTCTCTGCCCCGGTGCCCCAAGTGTCAACGGGGCCAAGGTCCCCTGGGTTGGGCATGCAGGGCTGCGCCATGTGGTCTGAGGTAGACACCCCGCCTGGCCTCTCCGTGCCCATGATCCAGCTGGTGCCATGAGGTGGCCCGGGTCTTGAGGCCCAGCGGCTGGTGTCCACAGGCCCAGCGGTGCCAGGCTGCGGCTGACGGTCTTCTCTCTCGCCTCCAGATGCCAGCCTGTTGGTCTCCCTCAGCCCACCAATCATGTACTGCCAGCCTCCCTCGGGGATTCTGATTGGTACTTGGTCACAGGCCCCCCTCTTCCCTCCACCCCTGAGTGTGCACCTGGCGAGTGGTCGCCGCGGCGGGGCCTGCCAAGACCGGGAGTGCCAGGTGACTACCCGCCTCGCCCCCCGGGAGCCCGCGGCCGACGTGCCTCTCTGTCTCTCTCTCTTCTTCTCTCGTAGATCACGAGCTACTCAGGCAAGAGCTGAACACGCGCTTTCTGGTCCAGAGCTCGGCGCGGCCCGGGGCCCCCCTGGGCCCGGGGGCGCCACTGCGGGCGGAATTCCACCAGCACCAACACACACACCAGCACACACACCAGCACCAACACTCATTCGCCCCCTTCCCGCCGGGGCTGCCCCCGACGCCGCTCATGCCGCCCG